ATGGTAATGGAACTCACCCCAATGCTGGACCCTATGGTGGGATGCTTTCCCAAGCAGGGACAACGCCCCTCCCATGCTCCCAATCTTCCTCCATAGAGGTTTGTAGGCTCCCTTTATCCATGGGAGAGGACAGACATGGTCTGCATCATCATCGAGGCCATGAAGGACTCGAGCATCTTCAACAGGAGGGTGGCAGAGGACATCCTGGAGCTGGTCATGAGCAACCTCGACTTCTGGCTGGTGGAGGTGGGTGCCCCATGGCTGCATTCCCATCCCCTTTGGTCCTTCCTCCTCCATCCCAAACCTAGGAGGGGTCCTGGGTACCAAGATGCAGCAGAGAGGGATGGGGAATGCAGGCCCAGCACCATCCTTGCCCCTGCTCCTGCTTCCAGATTCCAAGTGTCGTGAGGAGCATCCATGAATGCCTGCGGAATAGCAGAAGAGAAGCGACACGGGGCAGGATGGACGCGCTCCTCATCCTGATGGCCAGCAAGCACCCGAGGGCATTGCTGATCAGCATGGTCCTCAACGTGCCCTTGAGAGACAGGTACCAGCCTTGAGGGCTTGGTCCCTATGGCCACCAGACCCGAGGACCCATGGCAATGGATGATCTTAAGGCCTTTTCTATGATGCTGAAGAGTGGGTCCCTGCATCCCACCCCATGGCATTGGGGATGGAATTTGATGATCCCGTGAAAGGGTCCTTTCCACGATGCAGAGGATCGGGTTCCTCCATCCAGACCCATGGCAAGGGTTTGGAATTGGATGATCTTAAGGCCCTTTCCATGATGCTGAGGATTGGGTCCCTCCATCCAACCCCATGGCATTGGAGTTTTAATTGCATGATCTTAAGGCCCTTTCCATGATGCTATGACATCCCTGAGGAGTGGGTCCCTGCATCCCACCCCATGGGGAGCACCACCACTAACCCCCATTGGGCATCCCATGGGATGCATGGACCACGCTGATTCAGTGCCCTGCCTTCCAGCGCTGGCGTGGCCATGTGGGAGATGTTCCTGAACATATCCAAGACATTGGAGGCCCTACGGGAGCTGCTGGAGATGCTCCAGGACACCCGGGACACCTCCATCCCCACCTTGGTTGTGAGTCCCAAAGGGCCCTGATGAGTCCCATGAACCCTGCAGGCTCGATGGGGTCTCAATGCCTGTGTTTGCCTTTAGCCCATGGCCTCCAGTGCTGGTGGTGCTGAGGGTGCTGAGGACCTCCAGAGCCTGGTGACAGCGTCCATGCTGATGAGAATCCTCTTTGAGCTGTCAGAGCAACCTCGCTTGGTGAGCGGGGCATGGCTGTGGGGCAGGGCATGGCCATGGGGAGCCCTCTTGGCTATGGAGAACCATCTTGGCTATGGGTCATAGGGAACCCTCTTGGCCATGGGGCAGGGCACAGCCATGGGGAATCCTCTTTTCCATGGGTCATGGGGAGCCCTCTTGGACATGGGGCAGGGCATGGCCATGGGGACCCCTCTTCGCCATGACCTTGGTGACCACAGCCTTGGGTCAAGGCTTCCCCACAAGGAGCGCCCATCTCTTCCTGCAGGCAAGGAAACTGCAGTGGCTCCTGCCCCACATCATGGGCGGGCTCCAGGATGCCGAGGACGAGCTCAGGATAAAGGCCCTGATGACCATATGGAACGTGATGAATTACCTACCGAGGGAGGAGGCCAGCTCCATTGCCGTGGGGCTGGTGCAGGACCTCCGGCCCCTCTTGGATGCAGTAAGGGCTGTGTGGGCCCCTGCAGGGATTTGGAGCTCGCATGGGGATGGCTCCAGGGCTTCGCATCCCATCAGGATCTGCCCAAGTCCCCCCTTTTCCTCCTTGCCTCCAGGGATGCAGCCACCTCCGGCTCCTCTCCATCCGCCTGCTCCGGTCCCTGCTGGTGTCGGTGCTTGGCAGCGACAGGAGGAGGATGAGGAGCGAAACCTGGGATCTGCTGCTCCCGCTCTTCTTGCGCATGAGCGACCGAAGCTGCAGCGTGGCCGAGGTACGGACACCCCCCCCCACACACCCGTATCCCACTGTTCCTGAGGGTGGGATCATCCCCAAGGTGCCATCTCCCATCCCATCCTGTGCAGGCTTCCTGGGAAGCTCTCCTTGCTGCGGCGACGCTCCTGGGATGGGAAGAGCTCCGGCGCCTGTTGGAGTCAAGGCAGACGTGGAGGGTTGCGCAGTGCTTGGTATGGGCCCTGTATCCATCCCTATTCCCATTGGAACCCCTTGGACCGCTCTGCCCATCCCACATCCGATGGGAAAGGGAGCCTTGGGACTGCTGCAGCCAATGGGGGAGTTCTGTAGCATCCCATTCCCTCTGCAGCTGGAGCGGAGCAGGAAGAGGGCTCAAGGATACCTGCACCAGAGCCTGCGGTACCTGCAGGATGCTCAGGTCCCCCTGCAAGAGGCAGCCGTCAGGTTCATTGGTGAGCCCCTGCAGTCCCAATCCCGGTCCCCACCGCTGCATCCCTGATGGATGCTGATGGATCCAAATGGATGCTGATGGATCCCAATGGATTCCTGTGCCCAGGACTGGCTGCGCAGCCTCTACGAGGGAAAAGCCCAAGGAAGCTGCAGGAGATCTGCAGAGGTGAGGAGGGAGCAGGGATTGGGGGGATGCTGGGGGCTATGGAGGGGCTCATCCCGGTATCTTTGGATCACAGCCCTGGAAGCAGTGCCGGATGAGGGCGATCCCGGCCTCCGTTCCCTGACAGCTCAGACCCTGCTCATCCTCCGGAGCACACCGGAGCAGCGGAGCCTGGGATACCGCCTGCGGGCGCTCTTCCGCTAGGAACGGCGCAGTTTTCCTTAGGGAAAAGGACGGCGGAGACAAACCTGGACCTAGGAGCTCCGGAGACTGAAGGGCATCGCCTCCGCCGTCCCATTCCCTCCCCTCCATTTCCGATAGCATCCAGGCAGCACGGACTCCTAACGTGATTCCCCGTTATACTGCAATGAAGATGAAGTGATTCCTTCCGGGCTTCCCTGCTTCCATGGATCAGCAAAGGGGGTGGCGCTGGGGCAGAAAACGGTGTTCCCAAAGGAATCTGGTCCATTATAACGCTAAAAGTCATGCATCAGCATCAGAATCCCTGCTCGCTTCCACTGAGCGCACCCGCGCACCCCGGTGTGCTCCCCGTCGCTCTGCCTCTTGGTACCGCCCACTGGATAAAGCCACGCCCCCCAATCGCGCCCAGCTAATCAGAGCCCCCCCAATCCGTCGTAGTCACGCCCCTTTTGTGGGCGGGCTCATCGGGAACAAAACGGAGAGGGCATCCCCCCTACCCAAAATGGGGGACACCTCCCCCAAGATGGGATCTCAGCACCCCAAAATGGGGGGAACCCCAACACCCAAAATGGCTTCGACCCCCCATCCCCAAAATGGTTGCAAGCCCCCTTTTCTACTCCTCCCTTATGGAACAAACCACTGTGGGGAGGGGGGGGCAGCATTTTTCTTCCCATCAGCATCAAAACGGGGGGTAGGGGAATTAAATAAGGTTATGGGGACATAGAAAATAATATACACAATGGGGGGGATGATTTGGGGAGGGCCCAGTCGGAGGGGATCACAGTGAGGCCCCTCCCTGTGAATAAAATGGGCAGAAAAAGGCAAGATTTAGGATTGGAAAGGCACCATTGATACAAATATAGTGATTTATAAAGGGGGGGTTAGACCCATTGGTTTCCACGAGGAAATAATTTAGGGGGAGGGGAATAAAGTGCTAGAAGAGCCTAATTATTAATTAGCATATTATTAATTGTTATTATTAAGGATTTGGCCCCCAAATGAGGGGCTCCTGCAACCCCTTATTGCCTTGAATTCTATCGTCCCGTTCTACACCCCCCTCCCCAGGGATATGGGGGTGGCAAAAGGGATATATGGGGTGGGGTGGAGCCCTATAGGGAAGCCTCAACCCTACAGGAAGGCCTCCGCCCCGTAGAGAAAGCTTGAACCCGATAAGGAAGGCTCAGCCTATAAGGAAGGTTCAGCCCCATAGGGAAGCCTCAGCCCCATAGGGAAAGCCTGAACCCCATAAGGAAGCCTCAGCCCTATAGGGAAGGCTCAGCCCCATAGGAAAGACTTGAGCCCCATAGGGAGCTCTTGAACCCCATAGGGAAGCCCCCAGCACCATAGAGATGGATATTCTCAGTCCCCTATGGAGGTTTGTGGCCCCATCAGGGTTGGTCCTTAGCCCCACGGGGAGGCTCCTGACCCCACAGAGATGCTCTCAGCCCCATATGAATGCCCTCTGTCCTATAGGGAAAGTCTTCAGTGTCATATGGATGCATGTATGATCCCATAGAGTTGCATTTGGTCCCATACAGAGGCCCCTGGTCATATATGGAAGCCCATGACCCCATATGGAAGCTCATGGCCTCATATGGAAACTCTCAGGCCAATGTAAATGCTCATGGTCCTGTCTGGAGACCCCATGGCCCCATATGGAAGCTCATAGTCCCATATGGAGGGCCTTGGTCCTGCATGGAGGTCCTTGGTCTCATATAGAGGCCCATAGCTACATATGGAGTCCCTCAGCCCTAAGCCCTAGATGGATGCTTGTGGTCCCATATGGAGGTCCCTTGTCATATATGGATACTCCTAGCCCCATATGGAGGAAATGGAAAGGCCTCTCAGCCCTGCCTCCTAGAACCTAGATGAGGCTTGTAGATGGAGGAGCATGGCTGGCACATGAGTCCCAGGGGTGTCCAGGCAGGGAAGGGCTCACACACTTTCTGGAAGTCAAAGCGAGAGCAGCAGCTCTCCATGTAGGGAATTTAATGTGGAATAAACTGTTCTGAAGCCAGCCTGCTGCTGGAGAGGCTGCAGTGCTGGATGCTGTCCCTGTGGGTAGCAAAGGGGAGGCAGGGGAAAGAAGGTGAACGGGGTTTGAGTGGAAAGGAGGGTAAGGTGAAACTGGTGACTGTAATGGTGAGAAATGTCCAGAGATCCCTGGTCTTAGGTAAGGCTCTCGTTCTGTGGTCTCTGTAGAGCAGAGGTGTGAATTTAAAAAGCAAACGGAAAACAAGCCTGTTCATACTACTAGAGGTACCTCAAGGCATTTATGAAACTTGAGTCTTCCTGTTCCCTCCCCTGTGGCTATTGTAACATGTTTTCTGTTTCTCCTTCTAGGCAGAACTGCTGAGACTTTCTAAAATGCCTTTATGCTTCCGGAGTTCCGTCCCATTTGCCGTACCTGGAGCGCTGGCACTTCTTGCATGGTGGATTTATTCCCATAGAAAAAAGCATGGAACCTATGAAGAGGAACCAGCAGTAGCTGCTGAAGAGCAGCAGGAAGAAGCGACACAGCAGGATTCAGCACCAGGAACAGAACCATGTGTTCCACAAAGACAGCTCTCCTTGCTGGAAGAGGAGGCCACAGAGAACAAAACCTCAACCTCCCTGCTGACAGCGGGGTTGACGATGCCCTCTGTTAGGTGTCACACTGATGAGAGGCTGGATCTCTCACCAGACTTACCAGTGACAACAAATCAGCCCAGCGCCCTTGAGAACGGCAGTGAAACACTAGAAGAAGAGGGATCTCAAGACAAAAAGAGTGTCCCTTGCACATCCACGTGTGAAGGTGGGGCATGTGTGGAGGGCCTGGTGCAGAGCACAGTGCTGGCTGTTGCATCGGGCCAGCATTCAGAGTTACTGAGTTTACCTGCAAGCGGAGACACAAGTGCTGGGCAGAGCTCCGGGCCAAGTGAAACTCAGCCTCCTGTGAGGCTGCCTGAGGACAATGACGTGCCGTACAGCACTGGAGTGCTGCGAGAGGATGGTCCAGAGCCGTGTAAGGAGCGTAGCAAGGCACCAGGAATAGATGGAGGCTGCCCACAAGGTAAGCAGTTTGAAAATCCTCATAGACGCAGACGGTGAACAAGCATTTTACGTGCCGTAACCCTCCTGCATGTGCAGATAAAGCTTCCTGTTTAATTTCTCCAGGCAATGCCTGTTTAGCCCTCAGGTGCAGGTGGGTCTGCATTTGCTCTCAGAATTCGTATCTCTGTAGGATCCAGCGTTAGCTGGGTGATCTTCAGGGTATCCTGCAAAGGGGTGAAGAGGCTGGTCCCTGTTCAGCACAAAGCTTCTTGTCTAAGGCTGAGCATGTTCTCGAGTAGCCCAGTGAAAGGACTGTGTCTGGATGTAGGCCAGGCTGCTGAACACCTTGCTGGTTTGAAACCTGCTCGTCCCAATGGTTTCTGCTTCAGTTCCAGCAGCCTCTAGCAAGTCCTGGGCTCTTCTCTGTGTCTGTGAGCTGCTGCTGTAAGGGGCCATGAGGCAGGTTTCTGAGGTGCTGCTGGATGAGGCAGGGAAGTGCTCTCATGAGCTGGGATCAAATCAGTTGGTTGCAGAGCAATTCCCCTGAAGCCTTTTTACTTGGAAGGGAAGGTGCGGGCCAAGAGATCCCAACAGGGAACGGCGGTCCTGGAGTTTCCCCGTCTGTCTATGTTGCTTTTGCCTTCTAGATCCTGGATGATGTGTGTGTGGCAGAATGCAAAGCTGTCTGAGCAAATGTTAACCTGGGTGACCTTGGGATGGATGTTCAAGTCCTTTAGAAGACCCTGTGGTGCCAACAGCCCTTAATGACAGGGTGCCTTTTGCAATTGCTGCAGAGTACTTGGAAGGCTGCTTGTTGCAAGGCATGGGGACGGAGTTTGCCAACAATTAAGGATTAAAGCCCCAGAACATTTCCTTTAGTGAGAATCACTCTAGGAAGATGGTGGGTTCGCCTTGTTGTGAATGCTGGTGTGGCAAAAGGTACAAATGTGCTGTGGAGCCTGGTGGTGATGAGCTGAGACCTCAGCACCCAGAGAGCTGATGGGCAGGGAGAGGGGACAGAGCAGGGTGCTAATGTGGGATCAGAGGTCACACAGCTGACCCTCACACCCAGGCTTTGAGGCTTCCATCCCCATCCTTGCCTTTCCAGGCATCCGTGCTGGGTTCCTAGTTAAGATGTGGCAAATGTGAAGCAGGTGTTTGGTTTCTTTTTCTCTTTGGTCCTGCACTGGATGGCCTGAATACTGGCAGGCAAGTGAGGGTCTTCACACTTCTGCTGGTTAATCTGAAGGAAGGATCGGCCATGTGTCACACTGCTTGTATGTGGGATGTGAGCAGGAGGAAGACGTTCGGGTTTGTTCCCCTCCCAAGTAGACACGTTCCTGGTATCAGCTGATGGTTTGGGAAGAAGCTGTAGCTTGGCTCTGGCACCTTGCTGCTTCAGGCCTAGGACAGATTTGGGCAAGAGGCAATCCCCTACCCCCACTAGCAGTGGACCACCCCTGGCACTCAGGTCCCTGTGCACCATCTGCTGTCAGCACAAAGAGCAGATGAAGAGGTTGCACGTCCCTCCTTGCCCGCTCAACTCCCTGTGAAGAGCCTTCCATTCCCCGTGGGTAGAATGCAGAATTCCTTGGGCAGCAGCAGGCTCTCCTTCAGCTTTCGGTAACTTTGGCTTCTGGTGTCTGTGTCAGCCGCTGCGTAAGAGGTGCCTGTGTTTGAAGGCTGATGGCTCAAGGCGGGCTGCTTCCTGTGGCATTCCCAGAGCTGTGCAGGCTTTTCTCCAGGAAGAAAAGGAACCTTTCAGTAGGCTGCATGTGATGGGAACCCTTTCTGACACACTGGAGAACCCGATACAGGAGCACCCTGAGCCAAGGCGTGAGAACAGCTCTATGTAACCTCTCTATGAACTGATGTCTTTTCATGGCCTTGTGCCTGGGAGCTGGGCTGGACTGAGGGGGCTGTCTGCATGCTGACATGTGTGCGTGTCTTGCAGGATTGGATGGACATGGTACGGGTTTTGTGAACAGTGGCTGTGCCATGAAGAAGGCAGTGACTCAGCAGAACACTGAGACAGGGGGAGAAACCAGCAAGTGCGACCACGTCATCTGGGAAATAGAAGTCCCAGAGGTAAGCATCTGCTGGGCTGCTCCTGCATCCTGCCCTGCCCTACACAGCCATCTCCTGGCTCTTCCTGTCCTGCACTGGCTTGGTGCCTCCCCAGGGACGTCAACAACAGAGGAGGGTTGAAGTGATTCGCTCCCATTAGGACTCAGCAGGAGGGAAGAGCCAGGACAAACTGTAACCATGAGGCTGTGGCACTCATTAGTCCTTGTGATCTTCCACCCCAATCTGTTGGTCTGATGCTTTGAAAGCATTCAGAAGGTTTTGAGGGTACACGGTTCTTAAGAGCAGGTGATGAAATAAGCTGCAGAGAACAGCGCTGTTTGATCAGTATTTCTCTTGCTGACTGTTGCTTTCTTGTCCCCTTCATAAAGAAATCAGTTGGCCGCTTGATCGGCTGGCGAGGAAAGTTTGTGAGCTTCCTGAGGCAGAAGTCTGGTGCCAAAATCTATGTCAGGAGAAAGCCGTATTTGCGTGACTCCCAGGTCTGTTACATTGAAGGTAAGTGGAAAGTCTCTTCCATTCCTTGTCTAGTATGTACCTTGGGGGCCTTAATTAGATGGGCAAGGAGTTTAAACAGGGTTAGTGCCTCTTAGTCCCGTGCTTTACAAAGCTTTCTGTTCAGTGCTCTTATGGTAGAAGTCTGTGCCAGGTCAGCTGTGCCTTGGCATGTGAGCCCTGTTCTAGAGGTGAGAATGTGTTTTAATGTCTTCATCTGCTCTAGTTTAGCCAACACCGTTTGTAGGATCAGTTTGTGCCTCCAGGAAGAGCTATGGGATGTGTATCAGCTCGTGCTGGTCTCATACCAGGTTCCATGGCCAATGTGCTGAAACTGAAGTTGTTGCTGTAGTGCAGAAGGCTTTTGGTAGCTCTGTTGATTCACGTGGCAAGGCTGGGGTTGTCCTCACCAAATCTGTGCTACAGACCTTCTGTGGAACTTGTGTCTTCCAGGTTTCCCGCATCGAGTAGAAAAAGCACTGAGTCTGATTGGCAGGAAGTTCAAGGAGCTGTGTCTCACCAACATCCACAATCTACCTCCACCAGCACCACTGACACTTCGTCGCCTCCTCATGAATGCCTGGGTGAGTCCCAGCTTGCTGGCTGTGCTGATGTCAGGGTGGAAGGCTGTTGCTGGTCACTGCCATTGTAGGACGCTGTATCCATGTGGCTGGCTCACAGATGCCCTCAAACCCAGTTTGATTTTGTGTGGCTGGTTGTTGTCCAGCTGATTTAACTGGGTTGTGTGGCTGGTTGTTGTCCAGCCTCAGGAGGTGCTGGTGGAACCGGGAGCTGCTGTGAATGGCGCTTGAGTTGCAGTGAACACTAATGAGAGCTTCTTTCCTCCACGCGACAGCTCTTCCTTCCGGATGGAGTCACAGTGGAGGTGGTTGTGGCGCACCAAGTCGATGCAGGGCACATGTTCCTGCAGCAGCACACTCACCCCACTTTCCATGTCCTGAGGAGCCTTGAACAGCAGATGTCTGTCTGCTACTCTGAACCCAAAATTCCAGCCCTGCCAACTCCAGTAGAAGGCAAGTAACTTGGCTGCTCACAAACTGTTCACTTGAGAAACTTCAAGGGTCATGTGAAATCCTGCTGCCCTGAGTTAGGCTTGGGAGGCTTCCCAGTGCGTGAGAATGTGATAGTTCCTTTGGTATTCCATTTCTTTTGATTTGGGCTTTTTTTGACAGGTAAAGCACAAGGTGCTGCTCTGTTCTTACCCCACTCATCCCTGAATACCTCTCCAGCCACTTAGTTGCACACTGAAATTCAGAAGGAGAGCAGTCAGTCTTGGGTTATTTCTTATCTACCTGGCACCTGGTCTATTTTTGCTGACAAAGTGTGGAGCTACTCCCACATCTTCACAGTGTCACTGTCTGTACGTGGTCTGAAGTGGAGGGTGCATCCCATGGAAAGGAGTTACTAGTCATAACTAATGCCTGAAGCGCTGATTTCTGGAAATCCACTGAGCTTTCTTCTCTCTACCCTTACGTTCTGCAGCTGGTATTATCTGCGCAGCTCCAGGCCTGGATGGGGCATGGCTACGGGCTCAAGTTATCAGCTACTTTGCAGAGACCAGTGAAGTGGAACTCAGATATGTGGACTACGGAGGATATGACAAAGTGAAGGTGGACACACTCAGATACATCAGGTGTCTAGCTCCTCTTCCATGGCCTGAGGCCGTATCTGGCTTGAATCTTCCTCAGAGGCATCTGTATTGGTTGAATTACTTGTAGGTTTTTCCACAGCTGAAGTGGGAATTGGTAGAAAGGTTTGTCTCAGCAGCAGGGGTGGGCTCCCTGGCAGCACAGCAGGCTCTTGCAAGGCTTTACTGAAGGGGAGGGAAGAAGAAATTGTGACTTGTGTCAGTTCAGCGTGGCAGCTGAGCAAAAGGATGCCTTTGGGAGGCCCCAGGGTGTAGTTAGCTGCTGAGCTAGGAATAAGATTAGGATTCTCTATGCTCCAGCCCCGCTGTCTGGAAGTGCTGTATTGGAAGAGGGTTTTCTTACACAAGCCCATTCAATACTTGATTGTGCCCAGAGGTGGGAGGAAAGCAGTCCAGGCTCCATGCTGGAGGTGTCTTTTGCTTGGAGCCCAGTCCAACCCGGCATACTCATCAGACAATGGATTGCTGCTGCTTAGGGTGCTGGGAGGTTGTTTTTGACTGTCGTCAATTTTAAACTAAATCCCTGTTACAGTAATTGATTAATCAATGTCACCTGAAAGAACACAGCAGTGACTTCAAGCCCTGTTCTTATTCTGATGGATTCTCTTTTCTTTAAGGTCTGACTTTTTATCGCTGCCTTTCCAAGCAGCAGAAGTTTTACTGGACGATGTGGTGCCTCTTCCAGGTAATGGAGCTCCTGACAAGTACTGTTGGCGGTCCTCCTGCAGTGTCAGTGGGTGCCAGCAGTGGGCAAGCAGAGAAGGGATTGTGCCTGAAGCTTCCCTCTCCTATTGCAAGCAGAGCCTCTGGTGTGACTAGAGCAAGGACTGGAAAGAATGAATTTTATCCTTCTAAATGTGCTAGCATGGCAGAACCTGTCAGACTCCAGGGGAAAGAGGATAAATGTCCAGGCTTTTTCCTGCTTGGAGGAGAGAGCAAATTACTCTCCTAAAGAGCAAGTTGGCAGGGCTGGCAGTGTATTGAGTGAAGTAGCTGTAACTACTCTGCCACCTTCTGTCATCAAGTAGCTGTAAATGCGAACTTAGTTTTAATGTGTTAAACCAATATCTGATACTTTCCTACTGAAGTGACTGACGTGTATGGTTCTGTGTTCAAAATGCTACCGTTCAAGCCCTGGCAGAGTGCCGTGGTGGTAGAGATGCCTGATGGCTGGGGGCCTAAAAAGCTGCCTTGTACGGAAGGGGCTCCTGTAGGAGCTGGGGGTCAGGTGGGTCAGTAGTGTCTTCAGGGTCAGTGAAGTCCTGAGGCCCTTGAGCTTAGTTCATTAAGGATCAAAATCCTAACGACAGCTCAAAGGTCCTGCAGATATGCACTTTTCTGTCTTTAAAGCCTCCTAATTCATCAGCTGCTTAAATTCATACCAACTTAGCTAGTGGCTTTAGAAAGTGCTTCATTCTTCCCTTCAGCAACACAGCAGGCATAATGCTTGTGTGATCTCCAGCTTAATAGACTGGTTTCAGCAACAGTGGGTGAGGATTCAGTGGCGTAATGGTCAGGCAAGATGAGCTTAATAGTCCCTTCTGGCCTTTAAAGCCTGTGACCCTCCTTTGTTTTCTCCTGCTCTTCCCCAAGATGAGGATCGCTTCTCCCCTGAAGCTGACGCGGCTGTTGGCGAGATGACCAGAGGCGCGGTCCTTGTGGCGCAGGTACGTGGAGCTGTTGGGGAAAGTCCTGCTGCTGATGGTGCTGCTGCTGCTGCGACTCTGGGCACCCTGCATCCTGCGTGTGTGTGAGCACAGACAGCAAAGCCAGAGCCTGCAAGTCTGGCTGCTGGGCAGGGGCTTGCTGAGAAATCGTGGTGCTGAGAACTTCCTGGTGTAGCATCAGGTACCGCTGAGGGCTGTGTGGCTGGGAAGGGATGAGTGTTCTCTCTTGTGAGTGATGTGGGCAGAAAGCCAGGGGAGGGATTTGAGTGATGAAAGCGAACTTGGCCAAGGGTGTTCCAGCTGCTGCCTGGTGGCAGGAGCTGCATTTCCTCCAGCCTACACATAGGAAGGGGTATCTGACAGGGAGGGAATGATGCTGGCCTTGCATCCTTCGTGGCTCCACCACAACTGCTGCCCACTCTGGTTTTTCTGTGTTTCCAGGTAGCAAATTATGACAGTGCAACAGGACTGCCACTGATACAGCTGTGGAACATGATGGGCGATGAGGTGCGTGTGTTGACATACCTCTTCTGTTGGAGTTGATGCCGATGCAGGCTTTCTACTGTTGATTAGGAACTTGCTGATTGTTTTTTTTCTAGTGGCTTGTTCACCTTTCTACTTTTTGTTTTCTTTTTTCACCTCCCTTTAGGTGGTGTCCGTAAACAGAACTCTGGTGGAAAGAGGCCTTGCTCGGTGGCTTGACTACTAGCAATGTCCTACCATTTCCCTACAAACACATACCTCATCTCGGTGAAAGGCAGGGTTATTAAAAGCCATAATGACAAATACTGTAGCTTGAAAGCAAAAATCGTCTGGCCTCTGTTCAAAAGCTGAATGGGAAAAACCTTCAAACCTTACGGCTCGTTCGAAGGTAGCAAATGCCCCTTAAGCTGTGGTCAGTCCACCTGTGTAATACCCATGAACTTAGTGTCTGCTTTTCCTTCCAAGTTACATTGGTTGTCCTTTTTTAACAGGCTCTGCCTATGAAATTAACAAATGTGATTAAGGAATTTAAGGTTCAGTTATGGATTTCTCTATATTGTGCCACTAGCCTGCATAAACAATATTCATCTTGTGTCTTCCTTATGCCAGGAGGGAGATGAACTGCAGTCGTTGCACTTAACAGTGGCACATGTCTCCCTGCAATCATGGTTTTTAGGCTTGATACGCTTAAGGAAGAAAGCTGCTCTGTGCAGATGCTTGAAGGCAGGATGTGTTACCACTACAATTTTTGCTCTGAAATGATGTGTATTTAAAGAAAAGAACCGATTGCCAAGCCCAGTTATAGTTTCTATTTTTCTAGCTGTGCAAGTCTGTAAATATATATAAAAAACCCAACACTGTAATGTTTTGTACAAGAAAAACACTGGAAACAAAGGGAACTTTACAGAAACTTTTTCACACCAAGACGTCCTCTGTAGGTAGAACTGGTTTGGAGTGCAATAGGGTAGCCAACATTGGAGCATCAGAATGTTGGGAGTGTTTCAGCTCTGCTGTAGACAGGATTAGGATTCCCTTAGGTTGCTGTCTGGTTGGACTTGTCATCACTGCATTCTTTACTATGTTGCTGTGCAGTTCTGTTTAAAAAGAAAGGGATAACTCGGCATTAAAGCTGCAGTGGTGTTCTCCTCTCTTTCCTTTTATTTTTCTTTTTTCTCCTTTTCGAGATTTCTATGACGTATTTAAAATTCTGCTCAAATAATTTAAGCTGACTTCATACTCTTTAAACACGTGGCCTCTAATGTGTATCAGGTATGTATTGAGCTGGGATTTATGGCTGGCAGAGAAGATACTTGCCAGGAAGAGGTTGATGAAGTCAGTCCTCAGAAGGTTTTCCAGGTGGATTCGAGTATGTCTTTGCATCCTATGAGCTAACATGTCAGCATTTGGATAGTTGCCTACAAGAGCATATGGTCCAGCTGTTCTGTTATGATGTGGTTATATCTCTTTCGAGTTCTCCTGTTCAGTGCTTATGATTTAACGTTCATGTTTGCAGTAACATCCAGTGAAAACTCAATTTGGTAACTAAGTGAAATCTATACAACCGTATTTCTGTGCACTTAATGTAACCCAAAGAGGGGAGAATGAAGCATGGATACCAAAATGGGGATGGGGAAGGACACTGGCTACACAGACACTGTGCTCTGTGCTTTTCACTTGTCCGCTCCAAGCACTGCCCCTTGGGAGCCCCCCGTATTCCTCGGTGTTGGAAAGGGCCATGGATGGAGAGCACTGGGGAATCACAGTCCCCAGAGAAAGTTCCTAGAACCCTAAACCAGAGGCCAGGTCCCCAGCCTGGCCCCCTCTGATGTTTGCCCTCTAAAGCAATAATGACTGTCCTGGTGGTGCCTCCTGACCTGCAGCAACAGCATCGTCCCTCACGGGTGTTTCAGCCCCTGGTGCCACCTCTTTGTCTGCGGTGTCCCTGTGTGGCCTTAGGATGGCCCTGTCCCAGCTGCTTCCCGGCAGAGCATCACTGTGTCCCCCAAGGATGTCCCCATTTACATTGCTCTCCAGGAAATCACTGCTGTGTGTCCCCATCTGTGTTGCTGCCCTGCAGAGCACTGCAGTGTGTCACCCCACAGGGTGTCCCCATCTCTGTTGCTGTCCCACAGAGTACTAATGTCGCGTGCCCGTGTCCCCCCAGGATGTCCTCACCAGTGGTGCTGCCCTGCAGAGCCCTGTGTCTTGTCCCTGTGTTCCCCCCAGGATGTCTGTATCTGCACTGCTCTCTGGCAAAGCACCGCTCTGGGGCCTCAGTGTGAGCCCTGGCCAGTGACTGTGGAGATGGACCTGAACCCTCCCTGCCAGCCTTCTGCTCACCCCCGCAGGCACAGAGAAAGATGAAAGGGGTGAGGTTGCAGAGCAGAGGCAGAACCGCGAGCAGTGGGATTGCTGGGGTGCCCTGGGTGGGTTCACCCCAGGGTGTGGGGTTTGCACCCAGGCAGCTTGGCTGAGGGGGGCTGTGTCTGGTCAAGGCTCAGACTGGATGCTGCAGGGTGCTGAGGCAGCATCCGGCATGCGCCACCCATGTCCCTGTGCCACTGGAGGGTCCCTTGACCTCCTTGGGCAGGGACCCCTTGGGCAGGGCCCCACAGGGTCTATTAGCACTTTCCTTTTTTAATCTTGCTGTTTTCTTACACAAGTACCTACCTTCGCATGATGGTCATAGAGGCATTTATTAAAGGACAAGCAGAGTGTAGGCTTATAAATTCTTATAGAGCTAGTGGAAATATTTTTATCCCTCCACAACCATTCCCAATAAATATGGCTGAGCCACCTTGTCTGACACCTTAAATTGCTTCCATGTGGGTGCCGGGCACCCTATGGCCCCAGGCAGGCAGGCAGGCAGGCAAGGATGAGGGCTGACGGTGGCCAGTGATGTGGCTTCTTGCTCCTGGCTCCTGTTTCCCGGGTAAGAGCTCAAAATGGGTACTGGAGGGGGCATATGCTGCACCCACTGGGGTACCCAGCTGGGGGTGGGAGACCTTTTGGGACCCAGCTCTGCAGGTGAAAGGGGCACAAAAGGATGAGGTTCCCCGCCTGCCTGCTGCTGGTTCATCACCTTCATACACTGCCTTAGGGTCACATGGCCCTGGGTATCGCTGGGTTTGGGCTGTGATGGGAATTGGCAGGGGGGGATCGGGGAAGGTGCTGGAGGATGGGGGTGCAGAGCCCAACCCGGGGATTGAATTGCCCTACACGTGCTGGCCCTGGGCACCCCTGCAACCTCACGCTGGGGCGAGCCCTGCTGGGGTGCACACGGGCACTAGGCCCTTTGAATACCAATGCCCAGTTACCCCAGTGTGGTTTCACTGGGAGGTTGGGCAGTGGCACCGGGGTGCATGAGCTGCCTTGCAGTGGGTATCACCCCATTATTCCTCCCTGCACCCTGTTATACTGGCTCCAGCTCCAACCCCTGCCCCAGGCAGGGACCCCTTCCACTGGAGCAGCTTGCTCCAAGCCCCTGTGTCCAACCTGGCCTTGAGCACTGCCAGGGATGGGGCAGCCACAGCTTCTCTGGGCACCCTGTGCCAGCGCCTCAGCACCCTCACAGGGAACAGCTTCTGCCTAAGAGCTCAGCTCAGTCTCCCCTTGGGCAGGTTCAAGCCACACTTTTCTATGCTGGAAAGCCCCATGCAGCCCCAGCTCTTTTTCCACAATTTGGGGTGAGCCCCAGATTGGCACTCCCCGACATGGCTCTCCTGCCCCATGGTCTCTGTGCGGTGGGGCCAGTGCCCCGCCATGTCCCATTCAGCTCCCCTGCCCCACTGCAGGGATGCCCCATCGAGCTCAGGGGTCACTGTGGCAGGAAGATCCCTGCCGCTGCTTTCCTGGGGTACCCCATGGTTCATTGTTGCTTTCTAAACCCAGGAACCAATGTACTGCCATTGGTTTCCTCTGCCTGCCTCTTGTACCTCTTTGCCACCCGTCACGTCCCCAGCACTGCCTCGCCCAGGGCCGGGTGCAGCAGCAGCAGTCAGGTTGAGCCCCGTGTGTTCTGGGTGACAAGGCACCTGGGAGCCCCTGTTTCAGCTCTACCACAGGCTTGGGAGGAAAGAAAAGCATCTGCTCTATTACATCGAAGGGGAAAAGGGTACAGCAGATGGTCTGAGGCATCCCCAGCTCTCGGGGAGCAACCCCTACTTCCTCTTGCTTTGCTTCTTCCTTTCAATCAGCTCCAGCCCTTGGCTCTTGATGGCTTCTCTGGTGAGGACAAGGCCACTGTGGTCGTCATCAAAATCAAAGTAGTCTGGAGGAGAGAGCGGAGAGGAGCGGGCTGGGGAGGGTCTGTGGGGCTGCCTCTGCTGTGCCTGTGTCCCCAGGAGGAGCCGGCACATTTGGGAGGGCTGCTGGCACCGTGGGGAGCCCTCAGGACAGGCACTGCCCATTGGCTGTGCCACAGCAGCAGCCCAGGGGGACCTGCAGGACCTGCTGTGGCCTGTCTCAACCCTGCTGGGGCTCCCCATAAAGCCCTGGGTCCTGCTTTGTTAAGAAAAGGTGGTAAGGTACCAGAAGCTCCCCTAGGAGGAGGCCGCTGGCAGAGCCAAGCCCTGGCTGTGAAGAATATTCCCAGCCAAGGGATTTGGAAGACGAGGGTCTCCCCGCTAGCTCCACAGCATCCCTCCTTGCTCCTGCGGTGCTTCTACGCTCCCCAGCCCACCATCTGCCTCCAGTCTGCCACATCCACACATCGAACCAGCACTATGCTCAAAGGCCTGGAGACAGCCGAGGTCAGCCCCAACGCCTGGAGCAGCTCCTGGGTTGGGCTCTGCTGGGACAGTGGGAGGTGGGCAAGGACACCCAGAAATCCCAGGGGGCAGGGGCTGGGGCAGTTGCTGTGGGATGTGTCCCCTTTCCTACCTGGGTCCCCCATGCCCGTGTCCTCCAAGGGAACCTTCTGGTTCTGTGGATCGCTCAGGAGGGTTTTCTCCAGGAGCTGTCGGACCTTCACAAAAGTCTGGGAAAGAGACGCTGTGTTCATAGCTGAAGGGGAGGCGGGTGTTACAACCAAAGGGGTGCCCAACCTCGATGTGCCCCTGGGAGGGAGGGAACACCCCACAGAGCCCAGGGCCACCTGGGCCTGAGCTGCTCCGTGGCTCTTCCCTCGAGCACCTCCATCCTCCAGCTGGGAGGATGGCTTGGGATGGGCCACCCGGGAAAGCCTGTGTGGGTCCCCAAAGACCGCAGCAGGGATGGAGCCCCCGCGCACCTCATCATCCTCGCTGAGGCTGGAGGGGGGCAGGTCAGCCACCCGCTGCACCAGTTACTGCAGCTTCTGCTCGCACTGGTGGAGCTTCTCGTCCACTCCCATGGCCTTGCCAGAGTGCTCCTGGAGCCAGAGAGGGAACAGCCTTGGTGGGCAGAACAAGCCCTTGGGGTGATGGTTGCTGCACCAACGGTCACCCCACGGTGCCGTTGCACCACCAAGCAGAGCCCGGGCTGTGCTCAGCCCAGCATTGTGCGGGTACCTGGCCAGGCACGGGGATGCCCCGCAGGCGGACGAAGAGGTTGTCAACTCCGTTCTCAAACTCCAGCAGCGTCTCCTGGCTCCTCAGCAGCTGGGCTCGCCTCTGCTCCAGCCGAGCCTCTTCCCACTGCAGCCTCCTCCTCAGCTCCTCCTCCAGCCCCCTGGAGCCAAGCACGCTCACATCCATACAACTGCACAGGGGTGCAGACACCCCAAACCCCTTGCAAAAGCTGCTGCCCAGCTTCTCCCCTGCCCCAAGCGCAGAGCAGAGATGCTGCCTGCACCTCAACCCCGTGCTGCTGCTGCTCCCACTTCCCATGCCAGGCAAGGAGCAAGGCTCCTCCTGCTGCCAGCGCAGGAGCTTTGCGTGCTCTGCCAGCACCAGAGCTGGGGCAGCACTCTGCTCAGAAACCCTCCCAGTGCAGGAGGGGTGGGCAGCTGCAGGGTGACCAAGGAAGGGGTGCCCTCTTGGGACCCCTGCCATGCACATGTCCCCCTGCCCCCAAGGGTGATGGCCCCTTTGGCACGACTGTCCGGAGGCCAGCAGCACCTGGTTGTGGCTGGGGGCTGGCGAAACTTGAGCTCCTCCAGCTGCATCTCCAGCTCCTTCAGTGCCTTCTGCAGCTCCTGCTTCTCCTCCTTGCGCCCTGCGAGGTACTGCTCAAGTTCCACCAGGGACTTCTGCTGTGCCAGGATCCTGATGGGGATGTCCTGGCCGGGGGAGAGCACAAGGACTCAGCCCAGGGCACTCCTGCAGGGTACAGGACCTGGGCCGTGGTCCTGGGGAGGTTTCTGCACCAGGATCCACAGGAACCACTGCAAGATCATGGCGTGGAGCAAAGCAGTTCCATCCCTGCCTGTACAAGAGGGGCCCTGGGGGGCTCTGGGGACAGAGGAGAGCAGAGAACCCTGCCATGGAACAGGGTGAGCAGACGAGGCTCAGCTCCCTGGGGCTGGAGCAGCCCCAGGTTCTACCAGAGATGGGTTTTCAACTCACCCAGAGGCGGGAGCACTGCACCGCAGCCTTGGCCTTCTCCAGCTTCTCCATCACGCAGGCCTCACGCTCCAGCTGGGACTTGGGGGCCTCCGGCTCGGCGGCTGCGGTGGAAAGGTTGTGGCAGGGAAGGATGCCTGCGGCTGCGCCTGCATCCCCCCCTGCACCCTGACAGGCACTCACCCACCGGTGGGTCCTCTGCGGGCAGGCCCAGGAAGTCCCTGGTGAGGTCACGCCTGGCTTGCTGCAAGGATGTTCATCGTCACCCCTGAGCTGCTGGCACCCTGGGGGAGCCGGCCCTGCAGCCCCTCACCCATGGCAGGCTGGGCACTGATGCCCGCCCTATGCCTGCAGCCCTGCCTGTGCCAGGCCCCCCCAGCTCACCCCTTTCAGAAGCCTTTCTTCTGCTTCCTTGCGCCAGCTTCTGTCCATGGGCTCCTTCTGAGCAGCCAGGGTGCGGAGCCTGAGCTCTCTCTCTGCAAGGAACTGGGTTTTTGTCCTGGCCATGTGCTCCTGGAGCAGAGCAGAGCAGAAGAGAAGTGGCTCCCAAAGCTCCAATGGAGCTCTGTGAGCTTCTAAGCCTGGCATGGCCAGCATCAAAAATGCCACCCCCTACCCCGTGTAAACAGCCTGGGAAGGAAACCGAGCAAGGACAGCTAGAGAATGGAGAATGCCACCTTCCCCATGGCCACGGCTTCCGGCAGCTGTCCCCAACTCAGGGCAGCCAGGCCCAAGAGCCAGACACAGGAGGAGCTATGGAGGCATCTGGGTGCTGCGGGGAAGCCAAGCTCAGTCCTGCTTTTTCTTGAAGGAAGACTCAGCAGCACGGACATCTGGTGCCATCTGTGTGCTCTGGAGAGCAGGAAAGCACCCTGAGGTGCCCTGGACCATCTCACCTTGGCTACACGAGCAGCTCGGAGCCCATCCAAGGCCATGAGCTCCATGTCTTCCACCTCCCCATGCTGCAGCTCGGCCATCTCACTCAGGAGGTCCAGGTGCAGAGGCAGGTGGGCCAGCTCCTGGGACACAGGGAGCCACAGCCCACTGAGTCCCAGGGGTGCCCTGTGCTGGGACAGAAGATGGAGGGGAGCAGGAGGACCTCCTGCAGGAGGGTGTCCCACCAGCACAGCGCCTTGGGCACTTCAGTGCCTTTGCAGGGGGAGTGGGTGAGACAACGGCACGGTGAGGATGAGCTCACCTTCCTCAGGGCATCCCGTACCACCACGTACAGGGCAGTCACCTTCTGCCCAGCGTGGATTTTTGTGTGCATCTTGTCTATGCTGTTCTGCAGTGCACGAATCACCTGGGGCAGAGATGGTTGGAGACAAGGGGTGAGCCCATGGACTGAGAGCAGTGCCCACCCAGGGGGGCAGGGCTGGCTGAAACCCCCCATGGGTGCTGCCACCCTAGGAAGGGGCTCTGGGACCTGTACCTGGTGCTGCTTGTCAGCCACCCGGACATCCTGCAGCTGCTGCAGCCGCCTCTGCAGCTGCTCCTTGGCCCGGCTCCGCTGCTCCATCTGGTACAGCAGCATGTTGCATTTGTTCACCCTGTCATAGACTTCAGCCCGGAGCTTCTCCTGGGCCACCTGGATGGGAGAGGTAGAGCTGGGGATGCTGGGACCTGGTCACTCCCTGGCAGGACAGGAGCTCTGCTGGGGCAAAGGACCTGCTCAGGGAGCTAATGGAGGACATTGATGGGTCCTGCAGTGCAAAGGGTCCCAACGGAGCACTCCTGAACACCCCGTGTCTCACTGCACCAGCCCTGGGGGGCTGTCCTGGTGCTGGCACCAGGTCCCTGTTCCCTACAACCGGTCCTTCTGAGCATCCCCTCAACCCCAGCCCACTGCCAGCAGCCTGGGCCCGCTGGACTCTGCTCTTACCTCCAAGGTCTTACTGGCCAAAGCAATGCCCAAGGGCTGCTCCGCTCCACAAGCCTCAGAGATGGTGAGCTCATGCTGTGGGCAGAAGAAGGGCAGAGAACACATCAATGCCAGCCTGGGGATGGTCCCAGCCTCCTGCTGCCCTGCACTTCCTGCTCCTGGAGAGGACCAGTGGAGAAGCTAGCTCTGCAGGTCCAGCAGGACAGCAAATGGGACCTGCTGGTACCTTGCGGACAAGGCCCAGGGCATGGATATCCTCCTGCACCGCCTCTCGCAGCTGGGGCAGCAGCTCTCGGTTCTCATTGAACTTTCCTTCCTCTGACTTGCTGTAAAACTTCCTTGCTTGCCCTGCAGGACATTGAGAAGCTGTTGGTACCATGCAGGATGATGCGGGGACCAAAAGCCCCCTACTTGGCCCACTCCGTAATGCAAAGCCAACGGGGCAGCACCTTGCAAGGCTATGCTGGCACGCAGCTCACGGATGCGCTTGCTGAGCTTTGGCTTCTGGCCCAGCATGATGCCGGTGCTCCTGCCTCGCCTCTCCAGCCCCACTGTGCACGCAGCAGCCACTGCAGTTCTGCTGCCTGCTGCAACCCTCACAGAGCTGTGGCCATAGGAGCTGAGCAACCTATGACGTCATAATTGTCCTCGCAGGGCTGTAAGCACAACATGGAGCTGAGCTCCCTATGCCCTGGGAACTGTTGCCGGGCTGTAACCGCAGCAACGGAGCAAGAGCAGCCTGTTGCTGCCTAGACATGTCCCTTTGGAAAGGTCAGGTCATTAGTCAGGAAACAGCCGCACAGGGAGCTACGCTCTTGTTGACATGGGCAAGAACCAGGCACTCTCAATACTGATATCTATTTTGATGCTCACCAGATGCTCTTGCTCACTTACAAAGGGGACAAGAAATGCAAGCACATACAGTTGTTTGTTGGTCAATACCATCAAGCTCCTGCTACTAGAGAGTTGCAGAAAAAGACTTTGAAGGAAATAGCCTTCCCAGCACCAAGCTTGTACATCAGCTGAGATCAACTTTCTGTAATGCGGGATCTTTAACCTGCAGCCATCCTGTTGTGCTAAGGGGGTTGAACATTGAAAACAAAGAAATAGAGGGTTGTCAAATACCCTCTGAGGCTCTTACTCAGCATCTCCTTTGCAGATTTATACATGGCATGTTAGTGCTAATAGCCAGTGACAAGCTAAATACCAACACGGACATCTCCAGTGCTTCATCAAGCCTGCATGAAGAGATGGCCATTTGAAAGACAAGCTGGGAAGGGTTTGTATACCCAAGGAATCTCCCCAGTCTGGCCATGCATGTAGAGATCTCCACATTGAGGCCACGTCCATGTGCCAAACACAGGAATTATGCCCCTAAACTTTCCTAGGGAAGATTTAAACACAGAGATTACCCTGGGGGCAAGAGAAAGCATTTTAAATTGGATAAAGCGGTTCATGAATCTCCATTTCACTGTCCCTCAGCAAATCTCAGCCTCGGCAACAGCAGGGCCTTCCGAAGTGATACTGAAGACATTTCACCCAACCTTGCACAGCCAAGAGCCCCCAGACTGCTGCAGCAGTGAGCTTCCAAGAGGAAGCCTCTGACTAATGACCTAGCTCCGCAGGCCCTCTGCACCTGACAAGTTGTCATGGTTTAAGCCCAGCCAGTAATTCAGTCCCACGCAGCCCTTCGCTCCTTCCCCCCGCTCCTGGAGGGATAGGGCGGAGAATCGGAAGAATGTAACTCCCACGGGTTGGGATAAGAGCAGTCCAGCAACTGAGGTACAACACAAACCAGTGCTGCTGCCACCAATGATAATAATGGTAAGGGAAATAACAAGGGAAGAGAATACGATACCACCTGCTGAAATGAGCCCGACCGAGAAGAGAGTGCCCTTCCGGGTAACTCCCCGTCACCTCCCTGGGCAGGACGTGCTGGGGTATGGAATTCCTCTTTGGTCAGTTTGGGTCAGGTGTCCTGGCCCTGCTTCCTCCCAGCCTCCCTCCCTCCCTAGCAGAGCATGAGACCCACAGAGTCCTTGATCAGAGCCCTGCGGTACTCTCAGCCACAGAAGCACAACACTGCTGAGTACATACCCATGTCGTGCTCCAGGATGTCCAAGGTATTCTGGTTCGGATCGCTTACCAGTGCCATACCCATAGCATGTGTCGTGGTTTAACCCACAGCCAGACAGCTTGTTACCCACTCCCCCCCCTTCTTGCCCTCCCCCTACTCCTGGAGGGACGGAGAGGAGAATCAGAAACAATGCAACTCCCACGGGTTAAGATAAGAACAGTTTAGTAACTAAGGTATAACACAAATCACTACTGCTACCACCAATAATAGTAATGATAAAGGAAATAACAAGGGATCAGAATACACCACCTCATCACCAGCCGACCGATAAATCACCCGCCCAGCCCGACCAAGCACCGACCGATACCTCCTCCAACCCTGCAGTCCACCTAGCCCTTCCGGCTCACTCTCCCAGTTACCTCCTGGGCATGACGTGCTGTGGTATGGAATACCTCTTTGGTCAGTTTGGGTCAGGTGTCCTGTCTCTGCTTCCTCCTGGCTTCCCCTCCTCCCTGGAAGAGCAAGAGGCCCACAAAGTCCTTGGCCAAACCAAAACATCATTTTTATCAGCTCTGTTCCCAGCCCGAAAGTCAAAACACAGCACTGCACCAGCTACCAAGAAAGAGAAAAATGACTGCTACTGCTAAACCCAGGACATTATCCACCCCTTATTCCATACCATTCACGTCATGCTCAGATCTCACATTTTCAATATATCATCACTCTTATCTTTGTGCACTCTCATCGTAGTGCATGGGGACCAGTCCCTATAAAGCTGCTGAGTCCATCTGGTCCATGATGCCAGGCTCCATCTCTTGTAACAGCCTTTCAGAGCAGGAGAGGCTGTGTGCAGTGTTCACACACATGAATAACCTGGGCAGTAGTGTCCATTGTTAGGTCCACCCCTTGATCATGAGTCCATCTCGATGTTGCATCTCTGCTCTGTTGGCCTTAAGGGTCATGGTCCCATCAGGTTCAAAATAATTCGTTGTCCTTCCATCTCCAATGTTTCCAAAGCACTGGAGGGGCCCAGTGGACTAGATACTTGCCCATACTGTCCCTCATGCCCTGCCACTCATGGCTGTCCACCCCTGGGGAAAACCTCTTGGTCCTCCCATATTGTTGTCTAACCCCAGACAAGACCAAAACCCGACTCTGCTTAAATTTTGGGATCAGACACAATGGTGGTGGGTAAAACACACTCTGCATGTGTGCCAACATAGTGGACACCATCACAATCAGCAGGCAGGTCCCAAGGGTACCCAAACGCCATTCAAAACCAGAACTCTCAAGCAATGCTGCTGTACTTGTCACTGGGGCTGGTGTAGCTGCTGTACTTGTCACTGGGGCTGGTGTAGCTGCTGTACTTGTCACTGGGGCTGGTGTAGCTGCTGTGCTTGCCGGCTCTCCCACCACCAGCTTCTCTTTTCCTGAGCCCAGATCTTCCTCCTCTGCCTTGCTGGGAAATGCTGCGGCGTCTCCTGCGTCCTCCTGGGGCTCGGCGGGCGGCTTCCGGGGAATGCTCTCGGCCGTCGCGGGTCTGGGCTCGGCCGCGGGGCTCGGCTCCTCTGCGGCAGCCGCCTCCTCCCGCTCCTCGGCCTCCCCGACCTCCTCCACCGGCAGCCGCTCCCTGCCGGCCTCCGGCCCCGCTCCCGCTTGGTGCCCGGGGCCGCTCTCCCGGGCCGCTTCAGCAGCCGCCGGCTCCCGGGACCGCGCCCCCTCGGCTCCCCAGAGCCTCACGCAGACGGAGGTGAGGGCGAGGGCCAGGACGGTGAGGAGCAGCCGGATGGCCAGGGACCAGTCCACGGCCACGTCCGTCCTGCCCTGCTGCTGGAGCCCGCCCGTATTACAAGTTATTGCCATAAAGTACAGTGAGACAAGAACCTTAGCCCAAGCCCCACACTTGATAAACACTAACACAGCAAATACCGGCTCTAAGTAAGTTACAACATTCTGAAGCTCTGAGATCCAATAAATCAGCATTGTGACGGTCAGATCTGTCGTTATCTCAACCCCTCGTGCCCCACGTTGGGCGCCAAAAAGAACTGTCGTGGTTTAACCCACAGCCAGACAGCTTGTTACCCACTCCCCCCCCCTTTCTTGCCCTCCCCCTACTCCTGGAGGGACGGAGAGGAGAATCAGAAAGAATGCAACTCCCATGGGTTGAGATAAGAACAGTTTAGTGACTAAGGTATAACACAAATCACTACTGCTACCACCAATAATAGTAATGATAAATGAAATAACAAGGGAAGAGAATACAACACCCCATCACCAGGCGACCGATAACTTGCTCCCCCCAGCCCGACCAAGCACCGACCGATACCTCCTCCAACCCTGCAGTCCACCCTGTCCTTCCGGCTAACTCCCAGTTACATCCTGGGCATGACGTGCTGTGGTATGGAATACCTCTTTGGTCAGTTTGGGTCAGGTGTCCTGTCTCTGCTTCCTCCCGGCTCCCCTCCTCCCTGGCAGAGCATGAGGCCCACAAAGTCCTTGGCCAAACCAAAACATCATTGTTTTTCAGCTCTGTTCCCAGCTGAAAGTCAAAACACAGCCCTGCACCAGCTACCAAGAAAGAGAAAAATGACTGCCACTGCTAAACCCAGGACAGCATGTCCTTCTAAGCTCCTGCAAACATGTGGATTTTCTGCATCTGGGAGCTATTATGCTATTTTAGTTTCTCAGGCAGAACAGATAAGATAGATCAAATTTCTACAAGTACAACTTGTGTGGAGACAGTGCTCTCACAGGAGAATGGATATTTGGTACATGAAATCTGAATAATCCCAAAAGATACAGCAAGGCCATGAGAGGCCCGAGGAAGCTTAAGCAAGCAAGATAGAAGGAGAAGCTGGAATTCACTGAGTTATGAGAACTGTGGGCTGTTGGCAAGCTTGGAGGTCAAGTTCTCACACCTGTGCTTAACCAATTACAGGTTAGTCACTAAGGGTCTTCAAGACAAGTTGAGAAAGGGGGGGGGACGACAAAATTACAAGATGGGATATAGAAATCTTTAGAAGTAGCTTTAAGTAATGTTAAGTTTGATGGCTTTGTAACAGTAGCAATGGAAAATTACTGAGGTGCAGGATACATAGAGAAAAATATATAGAGAGAGTGCAGCTAGAGAACATACTGAGAATTCTCACAAGATAAATCGTTATGGTTGACACAGCTTTAAGAAAAAACAGCCTAGAAAAACAGGACACAGGGATAAGGGGTATCTGGGAAATGCGGGGGGGGGGGGGGGCGGTACCAGCGCCACCCAGCGATCCCTTCTCTGCTCCCTTCCAGCTGCGGCACATGCAGGAGATGCTCCAGAAGATCCCGAAGCAGATGAAGGACTCACACTAACTCCCCCTTCTTCCTCCTCCTCCTCCTCGTGCCCCAGATCAGAAACATTTGCATCACTCTCCATCCTACCCTGACCCTGCTGCAAAATGCAGTACAACGCTGACTGCATCTGCCACCTTAAGCTGCTGTGGTGTTGCCTTATTCAACCAACCAGCACCCATCCCATGGGGACAGTG